GGGGACTCGGACTTTGTCATTAACTGTGTTGTCTTTACACCTAGCTTACAAAGAGGTATAGATACACTTATATACCTACTACGCCTTTGATGTTATTTTATATGCATTTGTGTAACCAGATGAAATGAAACTGTGTCCTATAGCTGGAATAGAGCTAAAGATGTATTTTATAATAGTTGCTTGAATACAGGGCTCTAAATTTAAATGTACTCTAATATGAAAGGTATTTGCAAATATTTTGCTGATCACTTTTCTTGCTTTTATATTTCATAGATCAAATTGTTCTGCATGCATCCTACAAAACAAATAATGATGGAGAACAGATTAGAGGTTCATAAGGACAGGACACTGAAGGAAGCTGTGGAAATAGCTTACAAGGTATGCTATGCACAGCGGAATAGTTTGCTAGGTGTAATTTTTTCTGATGTTACTTATCTCCATTTTTTAAATATCTGCTGGTGTGAGTGTTTGGGTGGGGTTGGCTGTATTTGTTGTGGTGGATTGGTTTTAGTAGGTTGGTGTAGGGGGTGTTTTGGTTGTTTTTTTTTCTTTTTTTAAAGAAGTGTTCTATTTGGTTATTACTGAATTAGTTTTCTGTTGGTAGCTGTCAGGTGATTTCTGAGTGGAATTAAATAGCTTGCCCTTTTAAAAAGCAGTATGATGTTACATACCCTTATTTTAAAATTAGACAGTGAAAGCTGCTGTTAGACTTGCCATAGGCTCAGTAAGACGAAAGAGTTCTGAACAATTCACTACACTTATATTTGTATTGTAGCAATAAATGTTGTATTAGACATGTAATAAAAGAATTCTTACAAGAAACTTCCTACATAGTTAATACAATAACATCAGTGGGAAACAAAGCATCTGTTGTTCTGTGCCTTCCACAAATGGGTAGAAGTTGAGGGCATCATCTGTTCTTGCTTACCTACTTGTACTCTTTGATTCTTGCCGTACACATCTTTGTCTGGGAGAGTACCAGCAAGGCAATTACAAATTTGGAATGTGTTAACATCTTGAGATTCACAGAAGATAATTAGCGAACTTCCTCAGGCCTCTCTAAGATGCCATTTAGTATAACTGATGGACAATGTATTCCTCTGAATATACATCCAGGACCTGTCTTCATGTGCATTTATACATACGTTTCAAACTTCCCTCTACTCTGCATTTTGATGCCCACGTCTGTTCTGATTTTGAAAATGTGTATCTATATATCGCGTGTGTATATTATATATATGATGTATACATGTGGGTTTTTCTAAACCCAAATGCACTGGATGTGCATATACTGAGATAGTTCTAGCTTACAGGGGAAAAACTGAACTCGTGAGTAAACCATTATTAAATATTACGGGCTTTTTGGTGTGTGCATGATTTAGCTGATGGATTTAGAAGAGGCCATTCCTTTGGATTGCTGTCGTCTTGTCAAATATGATGAGTTTCATGACTACTTGGAACGATCCTACGAAGGAGAAGAGGATACACCGATGGGTTTATTACTTGGAGGTGTCAAATCAACGTATATGTTTGACTTACTGTTGGAAACAAGAAGACCTGACCAAATTTTCCAGTGCTATAAACCTGGAGGTAAGACATGTAATTATATATAGAAAAGGATAGAGTAAAATGGTGTATTGCTTGATGGCATGAAAATAAAACTTATAAAAGATCTAATTCATTATGATGCATGAAAAAGGAAGGACATGGTCGTACTAAGTTTACGAGGTCAGTACTCAGAATTACGTACTGTGCAGTGTTGCTGCTGCAGTTTGGGGTCAGGGCCGCTCCCAAAACTGTAATAGACACGCACTCCTCCTCCCCCCAACCCTGAAAGGAAAAGAGAATAAGGGAGAGAGAGACTTGTTGATTAGAAAAGAACAGAAAACAGTTTTAATACTAACCCTAGTAATAATGATAATAAATGAGGCTATGTACAAATATATACAAATATACAAAGTTAGTCCCGAACTCAATTCACCCTGATGGCAATACGTCCCCATCACCCCTGTCTGGGGAGAAGCCCCCAGGGAGAGGGTCCCAGGCTGGACTCTGCCACAGACAGCAACTGGGCACAGGAGCTGGATTCTGGAACTTGGTTCAGGAATACAGGAGTTGAGATCAAAGGCAGGACAGATGAAGTCTTCCTCAGATGCCGTCCACTGCAGCAGGAGCAGCCAGCAGCAGCAGACGGCAGAGAGAAAGAATGGAAGGGGCGATGGAAGGGCTGCCCCTCCTGATCCTCCAGCTTCTACTGGACATGAGGGCTGTGGGATGGAACACCCCACTGGTGAATCTTGGGGTCACTTATCCTGCCCGCTCCTCCCCGCAGGTGCAGAATGCTCTCTGCCCCCCTCCATGTGGGATCCAAGCTCAGCAGTGGCCTTGGTCTGCACACCAATCCCTGGCAGTAACTCTGAACATGAAGTCTCATCACTGCTACAGCCAGATAGTTTATGAAAACACAGTATACTAACTCAGAGCAGATAATTAGAAGAACTTTAGCTAAAAAGTAAAATCACTGAGCAGAACCAGCTCTATTTACCCCAAACCAGGACAGTTGCCAACTTGTTTCTAATTGAAGCAGTTCAAAGGTATACTGAAGCTTGTCAAACTGGAGTGTTTTTGCCTCTTCGGCATTAAAGTTGATCTGAAAATGAATTTGTGGAATTGGACTGCCTTTGAAATTCATTACTGTTTGTATATATTTAATGCAACCCTTTAATCAGTATATCAGACAAGTGTATGTCTTTTCTTTGCTCATTGAATTCTCTTTAATATATGGTTTTTTTTTCTTTTTCCTCTTTTCTACAGAGGTCATGGTAAAGGTTCACGTAGTTGAATTAAAGACTGAATCTGTTGCTCCTCCAATAAGTGTACGAGCTTATTTGAATCAAACAGTTTCAGAATTTAAACAGCTAATTTCAAAGGTAATTTACAGTTGTTAAGGACTGATATTTAAAAAGTTTCCATTTACTCTGACTTTGAAAATGCCATAATTTAAATATCTACAATGATAGCCTTCACTTTTTGCAGTTAATACCGTGTGTAAGGCTGGGTTAACTGTTATAATTGAGCTTCTCTATCAACTCACTGCTGCTAAAAGCAGCAGTCTCCTTCTTGCTTCCATGCAGAATTCTACCCTGGCTTTTGCACAAGCTTAGCCACTTTCTGGACCTATTATCTAATAGCTTACCAGATAATTTTTTGGGGGAAGCTCAAGAGTTGGGTTCATATTCTTTTGGCATAGGAACTTGCATCCACCTCACTGAGTATCCAATCAGTGACAGAACTAGTCAGCTGTTACTGTAGAGCTGAACCAACCTGTAACTTCCCCCCGTTGACTTTAGTAATTGAAATTTAACATCCAGAGCTTTCCTCTTTCTCCCTGCAACCCCTCTTTTCATCCCAGTAGCCACTTGTTATTAACGTGCAGATTGATATTTACATGGTCTTAAACCATGGAATGTTATCACTTCCATTGAATGGGAATAATGATATTTTACTCAGTCAGATTTTTGTAAAAGAATTAAGTGAACAGTGTGCAAAACCAGATGCTCAAGGATGGAGGCGCTTTTTTTTTGTTGTTTTCAGTTGGTTCATACCCTAAGTGATGTGACTGATTCCTTGTAGTACCAGTGATTGACAACTTGTCAGTTCTCTGCAAAGCCAAGCCATTTTAATCCATTGACCTTCTAGAAAACCCAACATTATTGCATAACAGAGGATGAGAGAAAGGAACTGGGACTGAACAAGTATGGGAGTTTTTCCTCCACGTTGTCTTTTGTAGTTTATAAGTCAGCAAACTTTCTCCTTTCCCTATGAATACTTTTAAAAACTGAAATACTTGTTCTGGTACCTGAAGCTATGTATAACATGTATATTATCTTACTGTCATTGTCATATTTTAGGCTACAGACCTGCCTGCAGAAACAATGAGGGTAGTATTAGAACGTTGCTACAATGACCTGCGTCTTCTGAACGTTTCCAGCAAAACACTGAAAGCTGAAGGCTTTTTTAGAAGCAACAAAGTAAGTGCTCTGGTTTTTACATTTTTATTTCATGTATTTGTAGCCTTCACTGTTGTGTTGTAAGAAGTATGGATATCTGTATAGAATTTATAATGGAGAACCATCACGTACTTTGCACATACTGAGTGCGATTTCTAACAAATTTTGTGGTGCTGGTGAATACTCTAGGCTATATGTGACACCAAGTGTACATAACAAGGTGGAGCCAATTCAGAATTGGACATATGGTTTATAATCAGTGATTCAAATGATGGTGAGGTTAAGAGCCTTACAATGAAAGATTTTTAAAGGTTAGCCCCTATTGGGGAACACAGGTTGGCATGTTACTACGAAACCTGACTAATTTGTTTTCTAAGCCTTCGAACAGATGTGACCGTGCTCAGTATTGAAGTTCTTCACGGAAAAATGGTTGACGAGCAAGTTTTTCATGGGGTTTTGTCATAAATTCAGTAACTTTTTCTATGCGTATCTCCCTAGTCAACTTTATATTGTTTTTCCAAAAAGACTTCTAATAAATGTTTCCAGTAACAGAAAAAAATAACTTAGTACTTAAGCAACATCTCTAGTATTGCCCTTTTTACTGCAGTAGTGTTCTGCCAGTGACCAGGCCCAACACAAATGATAGCACCAGCAGGGCGATGAACCAATACACAGACTGTATTGTTGACACAAATGTTCCGATATGAATGACCGCCGGGGGTACAAACAGGTCGACAAGCTCGTACATGATCGACGCCACCCCCAACGATCCCACAAAAGATGTGACTCAGCCCAGAACAGGTGGTACAAACAGAGACCCGAGGCTGCCCACAGTTGGCATGGGAAACAGGCAGACCAGCCAGCTGAACACATAAGAGAAAGGTGCCCACATAGCGACTCTCACCCGATCAGCCCACGTTCACAAAGGTCTAAACAGACTGGGGCCCAGCTCCAGGGAGAGTCAGGAGGTCTCTCCTGAACCAGGAAGCTCTGGGGAGTGCACTCCACAGAGCAGACACTCCTGACTCCCTGCCAGTGGTCCCAGCTTTTATCCCCAAGCAGCCCCCTGACCTTTGTCAACTCACTGTGGGACCCCTGGGGCTCATTTCCCTTCTGGCTCTCCCTGCAGGGCCGGCCGCACCCTGGGGGGAAGCTCTAAGGCAAACTCACCCCCTCTGTATGAAGGGCTGTGGGAATCACCCATATGGCAACCTTAATTCGGGGCTCAGGGTTCAGACCCCAGCATTTCAGGTAGTAATAGCACATCATCTAGGACATTTTGCACATGCTCTGTCTCCTAAAATTTAAGCTCAAGAACACTATCCTTGAAGAATATAGAACAGTGAAGGCTTTTGTGGTTTATAGCTGAGCTAAACAATGGCATTGACTTGTTAGTCAGTTACTTCAAGTCCTTTTGTATTCATGCTGTCACTACAATGCAGTGGCCTTTGACAAAGGAAAAGGAGGAATTTGTTCCTTGTGTTCTAATCTGCACTATTGCTTACCTGTGTATACATTTAAAGAGTTCTTATTTATGATGCTATACTAGAAAATAAAGGAAGACTGCTAATGGTAGCTGTGGGGCTCATAGCATGATTGCAAAAAGTGAAATGGTTATTAAACTACAGACTCCTTAGTCTATCTTTATCTAAACATGTTGGTTTGTTTTTTTTTTATAAAAGGTGATGTTTCTTGGTGACATAATTTTTCATATATGCTTGATCCTGTCTGTTATTGTTGATTTTATTTTAAAGAACACTACATGATAAACTACTGTTATTTTATGTTCAGGTATTTATTGAAAGCTCAGAGTCTTTAGATCGTCATGTGGCATATACAGATTCTCATTTATGGAAACTTTTGGATCGCCATGCAAATACAATCAGACTGTATGTTTCATTGCCAGAGCAATCACCTGGATCTCATTTTAGACGAGCAGCTTACAAGTCTAGTGGAGATTCAGGCAACTTGGATGAAGCCTGTGAAAGAGTGAAAGGACCTGTAGGTAATATGAAATCTGTAGAAGCAATTCTGGAAGAAAGCACCGAAAAACTTAAAAGCTTGTCCCTGCAGCAGCAGCAGGAGGGGGATAACGGGGACAGCAGCAAAAGCACAGAAGCCAGTGATTTTGAAAACATTGAATCCCCTTTAAATGAAGTAGACTCTTCCGCATCAGCAGAAAACCAAGAACTTGAAAACCAAATTCAGATTTCTGATCCAGAAAATCTCCAGTCTGAGGAGCGGTCTGATTCAGATGTAAATAATGACAGGAGCACAAGTTCAGTGGACAGTGATATCCTCAGCTCCAGTCACAGCAGTGATACCTTATGCAATGTGGACAATGCCCCACTTCCCTTGGCTAATGGACTTGATTCTCACAGTATCACAAGTAGTAGGCGATCAAAAGCAAATCAGGGGAAGAAAGAAACCTGGGATACAGCAGAGGAAGATTCTGGAACAGATAGCGAATACGATGAAAGTGGCAAGAGCAGAGGAGAAGCACAATATATGTACTTTAAATCAGAACCATATGCTGCAGATGAAGGGTCAGGAGATGGGCAAAAATGTATGTATGCTTTTTTAAAGTGTCTTAAAATAATTCAGCTTTTGTTAGTATTAAATTCTTATGCTATGTTTAATGGCGGTATTGCAAAACTTGGTTATGTGTCAAATTAAAGCTAATGAAAGTGCAAAGATGGGATGTGGTTTCATGTTCAGTAAAAATCTAGCCAACTTTGATCTTACAATATGTTGTTGTATATTTGAAAAGTATCTTGCTTTTTTATTTTTAAGAAAACATATGGCTACCTGTGTGAAACATTTATTTCCTTCTATTTGAAACTGTCTTCTGGAGAGCGAGCTGAGTGTTCTTCCAGTGAAAGGAAAATAGTTGCATCTGATGATGATGATTCACCTGCTTCAGAATGCAGTTAACTGTGGCTCACAGAGCAATAATTTTGTTAACAATTAGATTAACAAATGTGAAAAATCCCAGTCATTTGACTGTGAAGAAAATTCAAATACACTTGATATTGATCTTTTAATTCAGTAGACTGTTGCTTTTCATTGAGTGAAGTACAGTACGTACAAGGTAGTGTGGCTAATGTGAAAATGTCTGAACAAGTTCAGTGTAAGAGCCAAAGCAGTATACTAGTTGTCATAAAGATAATTTAAACAATGCTCAGTACCTGTGTATGTATTATAACTAACAGAATAATTAAATAACAGGGTATAAAATAATATTTTGAAAGGCAAATGTTTTCCTGTCAATCCAGAAATCCTGCTGTAATAGATAAAGAGTAAACTTTTTTGATGAACAAACATTTTCATTTTTAAAACCACAGAGAAACTTCAATGCAGCTACTAAAGTTGTAATAAAATTACTCCCTTCAGCCTGGAAGGATCTTTCTTTGGGGCTAATCTTGAACTACTTTTGCTGCCCCTTTCTTTTTTTTTTTTTTTTTTTTTTTTTTTTTTAAATAGGATTCAGGATTTACTTTTTTATGGTAATTTTGATGCTTTCATAGTATGCTGTATAAATTACTATCCCAAGGGCAAAGCTTTTCTGTATTTTTACTATGACTACATGAATGGATTTGTAATTCAGATAAATTATTTGTTCTGTTAAATATTCTGAATGGCAATAGTCCCTTAATTCTAGGAGCTTGCCTGGCGATATCCTGTGGCCTTCCAGAACACAGAGCTAACTAAAGAAAGCAAGGAGAAGGAAAGAAATGTTTAAGTGGTGTGTTCCTGGTCAGCCCCAACTCAGAAGCACTTGTGTGTTCCCGTTGAGGCAGGAGAAACCTATAGGGGGTTTATCTGCAAACACAGATCTGATTCTGACTCTCTGTTGTCTTACTGAATGGAGAAGTTACTGCTTTGCTCCTCCTCATTGCAAAATAGGGCAGTTTGGAACTGCTGTGTCTTCCAGCACTATGCCAGTAAACAAAATACAGCAAAGCTTTTAAGGGTTACAGTAACACCCTCAGATAAAATGTAAATGTGGCCATTAACTATAATTTTCATTTTTCAGTACTGTTTTGCTGCAAGTGATAACTGAGTATATGGAAATAGTACACTAGAGTGCTTTCTTTTGGTAGCACGGTGTCCCATGCCATTTTTATCTTTATTTTTGCTTAGGGCTGATGGTGCATGTTGATAAAAGAATTACACTGTCTGCCTTCAAGCAACATTTGGAGCCTTTTGTTGGAGTTCCATCTTCTCACTTCAAAGTCTTTAGAGTCTACGCCAGCAATCAAGAATTTGAGAGTGTCCGGCTGAATGAAACACTGTCATCATTTTCTGATGACAATAAGGTTACTCAGAAGTTATTTTGAATGATTAAAATATTTGTTGGTACAATATAGACAGATGTTAAGAACATAATTTCCAACTTTTTGCTAACTTTCCAGGTGAAATCATTACGTTGGTCTTGATATAGCGTGTTACAAACATAATTCTGATTTTTGTGTCAGTTCTAACATATTTCTTTTGCCTTCTAGATAACTATTAGGCTTGGAAGAGCCCTTAAGAAGGGTGAATACAGAGTCAAAGTCTACCAACTTTTGGTCAATGAGCCAGAGGTAAGGTTGAACATTACAGGATTGATTCATTAAAATACTGGTATGTGCTTTGGCCAAGGTTTTTCTAAGAAAACTTGGTAAAAAAGGAAGTCCCTCTTTTCTCTGAATTTTCCTGCAAGTTTTCCTGGTTCTAGAAACAATCCCAAGTTCCCTTTCTGTTTATGCTCTTCCAAGTATACAGCTGCAATGTGATCTACAATATCTCTCTTCATTGTCTCTATTTCTGCAATGTAAATGGAGGAGTGTAAGTTCCTTGCTTTTCTTAAATGTATGGAAGTCACGTATAATTTTTTTTCAAACAAGAAACTGGTTTTCCTCATGGTTGCAGCTTTCAGTAATATTGTACTGATATAAGTGGTTGCATTCATGCACTGCAGACAGTGCTTACCAGAATGGTTAGCTGGGTAATAGTTCTCTTAGCTTAAGATGAGCCTGAAACAAAAAATGCCTGTTGCTAATGAGCTCACTTGCTTGTTATATCTTTTGAGACATGGAAAGTATAAGAAACTATTTCAATATATAGATTACAGTCTTTAAAATTGACTTTGTATGCACCTAAATTTCTGATTTTATTTTTGGACTGGACTGCCGAATGCATATTAATAATGGATAAGCATAAGAGACTGAAACTGAACTGATAAAGCAGGGAATAAGATTAAATTTAAAAGTGGTTTCTGCAGTCATGGGTTTCTGATATCTCTGACCAATGAAAGCACAGAAAGTGGCATTTTTATTATCATAATGGTTATTTAATTAAAAAGCTCTTTTCAAATTGTTTAGAATGTTATTATCATGGTTGTAACAAGTGATGCAGGCAGAAGACACTATTTTTGCAGTGAAATGTGTTCAGAGTGTTAGAATGACCTGTCAAAGGGCTGCTGCTAGACAAATTAATTAAACCTAATTTTAATAAATTCATGGTTGTTCATGAAAACTATTCTAATGGTCATTTTGCTAGGTGGATGGGCCTGATCACAAAACATGAACAAGAGGCCAATCTACTTTCTGTTAAAAAAAAAATTGTCTTTAATCACTTTCTATTTATGTTCACAGCCATGCAAGTTTCTTCTAGATGCTGTTTTTGCTAAAGGAATGACTGTCCGACAGTCAAAAGAAGAGTTGCTTCCTCAGCTTCGAGAACAGTGTGGCCTAGACTTAACAATTGACAGGTAAAGAGACTTCAACCCATTGAAGTTACCTGATTAAATACTGCTTTAAAATGGGGGGGGGATGTTCTGTTGCAGAGAAAGGAAGTTATGGAAGGGGCTGAAATAAGTTACTGTGGCCTTTTAATTGGATTGTGAATACAAACGTTAATTCAGCAGTTCTTGGCTTTCATCTTGTGTAGAATGATACAGGGAGTAATATTTTCATGGAATTGTCTGTGAGCAATGTCTACAGGTTTAGATCTGGGTTATTCTCTCTAGGTATGATTTTCCTCATAAAAGAGAGCATTAAGTAAATGAGTTAAAGAAAAGCCACATAGTCTCTACATGCAGGTCCAGTGTAGGTCACTGCAGTAGACTGCCTTGGACATTATCTTGGGCCGGGGGGCGTGGGCAGGGGGTGTGCAGCACTGATGCAGTACTGTCTTCCCATTGGCCTTAATCACTTAGCTCATCAAGGCTGAACTCTCTTTGGGGCCTTGGTATACATACTCTCTACTGTTGGTTACAAGTGATGTGGTATTTACTGTGGAACAGCTGACACTTTGTATTCACTGGAATTAAGAAAAACCTCTAAGGTGTGGTAAGCAATCTGGTGAGGCCTTGACATATGCCAAAGATCAGGTTAGAGAAGAACATGGGAAGACAAGCATTGGCCCTTTCCTGTTGAGAAAAGAAGCAGAAACATAGATCTGGACCAGGTTTTTATCTTTTCCTCACAATGACCAGACAAAGGATTTTTACTGCTGTGCTTGTGTTATGTTCTCTAGTGCCCTGGAATTACGGGCCACACCACAAAATTTATGCTTGCTTTGTGTGTGGAGAAACCGCTACAATTAAAGCTTTGTACTAGTGTTTAATCCCATTTTAGTCTTTTATACCTTTATTTACCTCCATAACCAAGTCAAAGCTTATGCTTTTATATTGCGACTGGATTGATGCAGTAGAACTAAGTACATAAATTGGACACCAATCCGCTTCTAATCCTCCACCTCTTCCCCTTCTTCTCCACTTTTCCCTGAAAAAAAAAAAAAAGACAAAATTATCAGAAGTGGTTGGAAATATTGCTTCTTTATCTTAAAGATAAATAAGTTTCTTTCTTAAATAAGACACTAAATTCTTCCTCTAAATTCTGGCACATTTCTTGCACTGGACAAGCACCATACTGGCTTGTTTTTCTTGTGTTTGAGTGATTCAGCCATACAAGCCAGTACTGATACCTTTCTGTCAGGACTGCTTCAGAATGTTAAACTAGCTCCTGATAAATCTAACCAAGTCTCATATAAATGACTTTTGTCAGAAAGTAGTCAGTTTTGATCTCTGGCAGTAGTTAAATGTCTGTAAGCAGCTAAAAACTAAATGTTTTCTTCGTGGTGCATTTACAGGTTTCGCCTAAGAAAGAAAACCTGGAAGAATCCAGGCACTGTGTTTCTGGATTATCATATCTATGAAGAAGATATCAATATTTCAAGCAATTGGGAGGTCTTCTTAGAAATACTTGATGGTAATGATTTATTGTCAAGAGAAAGTGAAGATAATGTTACAGATTTTTTTCTTTAGAGAACATTGTGAAATGTACTTTCCCTTTTTTTTTTTTTAAAGACTATTACTGACATTTTAATAGCATTTCATTAGAAAAAAAATTAGAATAAAAAGAATTAAAAATAATAAAAGCTGTGCATAAAGGTGGGGGGATTGTGCAAGTGCAGATTGTGATGTCTAGCCATGATACTGTTTTGTAGGTTTATTGAAAACTTTCGGACATTCTGTAGTACTGCAGCCAGTTTTTGCATGTATACGTTTTTGTTGTAGATAAAAACTGTAGGAATGCCCTGTCATGCTTTTATTTGTATTTAATTTTTGGTCTAGTGATGTTTGTAGTTAGTTGAAGAGTGCGTGTGTGTATGTATACGTGATACATAAATCATTTGTTCTTAAAGTCAGCACAGCTGTTCAGTCATTTAGTAGTTTTCAGGCAGGAGTGAAAAAATTCATCTCTTGTCATGAAGTGCTATATTTTTTCAACAGACCTTATTCTTAAAAACAGCTCTGGACTCAACTGTTAGACAGCAGATTGTTTCTTAAGTTCCGCTGAAATACGGCTAAAAATATGCAGCATTTCTTAAGCTATCCTTTGCATATACACTTAATTTTGATTCTGAATGCAAAAGCATAATTTAAGGGGAAAAATATAGGCCATGCTGTTTTCTTCTAGATTAATAGATATTGTTGTTAATGGATAGATGAAAGATATGGATTCCATTCACTCAGGAACTCTCTTCACACACAAATGTGGCTTAGAAAGTCTCAAAGTAGTAGAGCACTACTACTCCACTAGTCTAAGTAGTAGAAAGAGGTGGTAGACACTAAAACTCTTCAGGGTGGTAGGTGTAAAGCAAGTGTTAATAACAAGTGTGTACTTAGTGTGTGAAATCTAGAAGTCAAATGTAGAAAGCTTATTTTGGTAAAGGAATAGAAATGTGTGAATAACTATCAGGTTGCTGAGGAAGGTCTCCTGCAAGTGCAAGGTCTGGAGGTCAGCTTCTGGTTGGCTGGTCAGATGCTGTATCTATAAACCAAGCTGCGTGTGATGGAGAAATGTGAAGAATAAATGGCCTGGCTTCTAGTGATGCTGTCTATGAAAAATTCCTTGGAAGGAGCTGATAACAAAGAAAAGTTATAATGAAAACTTTTTCTGATGAAAACTAAATTCTAGTAATTCTAGTTGTTGTGTCACCCTGCTTTTCTCTTTTTTTTTTTTTTTTTTTTTTTTTTTTTTTTTCTTATTTTCACCATTTTTTTTTTTTTTTTTGACTACTTGCAGCAGACTAGCTGGGATACTTACTTTGCATAGATAGGTAGTGCAGTCCTCCATATTTGAGTATCCTTATGTGATGGAAACCTCCTAATTTTAAATAGGGTATTTTGTGATATTATAATTGTCTCTTTCCTAGGAGTAGAAAAGATGAAATCCATGTCACAACTTGCTGTTTTATCGAGACGGTGGAGGCCATCAGAGATGAAACTAGATTCTTTCCAGGAAGTAGTACTAGAAAGCAGCAGTGTTGAAGAATTAAAAGAGAAGGTAAAATGCTCCAAGTTTCTGGTGGTATCTAAGACCCTTATTGACATCCTCTATAGGGGACCACAGCAATTTCATACCCACAGAAATCCTGCTGCATGGTGATTCCCCACCCCAGAACTGAGAACATGTCCCACGTTATTACCCAAGCCATGTGAATAATCAGCTTTACTTCTTAGTTTCATATAATGATCTGGTATCAAAGTATTCAGGTGAATGCATGCAAAAAAAAGTCATATCTTGATGTTTAAGAAACATAGGATTACCTGTGTCACTTATCCTTGAAAAACACATGTGAAAGAAAAGCTAAATTATTGTCACTTTGTTTTTTAAGTGAACATTTTGGAGTTCCAAAATAGCAAACATTTCAGCCTTTTCAGATTTAAATTGGAGAGCTGTTGCTCAGAGATAGTGTAACTTAAACAAGTAGATTGAACTATATTTTGGTTGGAAAGAAATATGGCTTTGGTATCTTTTTTTTTTTTTTTTTCCTTAAGGTCAGAACTCTAACTGGTAAGCAGACATGCTATCCTAGCAGAAATCTAGAGTAGAAGTGTCTCATATTGAGACTACTGTATTAATCCAGTATATCACATTGTTCCGCTCTTAAAGAAGTAGTATTTACATATATATATGGCAATTCTCAGATGCAGGAAGGCCACCTGAGATGTTGAGGCCAGCAAAATTACTAATATCAGTGAAGTCTGCCAACGTCTTACTAAAGCACTTAGCATTTGTAAGTCAGGGGGTAGTTCACAGGCTGGAAAGAAGAACATTGTTCAGCTGCCACAGAATGCAACAGGCTTGCATTTGTGTATGCACACAGATTGAGCTGTGGATTGGTTTCTTGTATTCTCAGGCAGAAACGAAGTTACAACTGCAGGTTCTTGCATGCAGTCTTTAAGATTTCTTCTTCACTGTATCTGAAGAAAGAGTTGGCTGCTCATGTTTTCTTATTTTAAGAACTGATGTGCAGGGAGCAATTTTAGCAGCACTCTCCAAGAGGCCTCAACCTTTTTACTCCCACCAGTAATATGAGAAATTTAATTTTGACATATCTGCAGTAACAGGAGTGTTCAGCCAGTTCATCTTTCAGACAAATTTTATGAGCAGACTGTAGGGGTAATACATTTCAGAAATTGTCTGGCTTCTGTCAGTATTGTTTATTTATCCTAGTTTTCTGCTTAAGAAAAGTGTGATGAAATAATTGTCACAGCAAGTGTCACCTGAGACACACTACTAACATCAGAAATTTAAAAAAATTGTACCTTCTCACTTTAATTTTTTTGTACGAATATTTTGGACCACTGCAGGACTTCCAAATATTTCAATCGACTTGTAGATTTGACAGGTCTATTAACTTTATGTAGATACTGCATAACGTTGTTGTGGAATAGTATTAAATACACCAATTGTTTTTGCTTTACAGCTGAGTGAAGTAAGTGGAATACCCTTAGAAAACATAGAATTTGCAAAGGTAAGTAAAATTTTTGTCCGTTTTTACCTTTTGTGTGTGATTTTATGACTTAATTCACTAAGTAATTGCTTCTTCTCAGGGTAGAGGAACATTTCCATGTGACATTTCCATACTAGAGATTCACCAAGACCTGGACTGGAATCCTAAAGTATCTACATTGAATGTCTGGCCTCTGTACATTTGTGATGATGGTGCAGTAATATTTTATAGGTATGTATTTTATTACAGTATAATGAACCTTGCAAAAAAATCTGTAGAGAAGATCTGAGGGGTGATGTAATTGTCAGAAGCATAAAAATACTCCTCTATTGCCTTAAAGGAAAGAGGGCTTAAAATGTTGAGCTGAAACGTTTGTGCCCCTCGGCTTCCTAAAAACCTGAATATTAATTATGTTTGTTGTCTAAGAAAACAGGATGCACCCTTTTACTCAGTTCTCCTTCCTTAACCATTGAAGACAATTCTGAATGCAAAATCAGTTGTTAGGTTTGAGTGTGTGTCTGGATTTAAGCTCTTCAAACAGAACCATATCCCTTGTGGAATCTGTGAGAATCTTGCCATAGGTTTTAGAAAGTATTTTATTTTCTGAGTTTATTTCTTTGAAAAATTAGTAAGGCTTCTTTGGAAAAAAGGATGTTGTAACAAATATTTTGTTAACATGAAAAACGTTCACTGGCTGGCAGCAGTAGCCCAAAGGAAGTATTTGGGGACCAAGAACTTGAATACTCATTTCTGCTAAACTTGGGTGGGGCAGCCTCACAAACCCATTGCTCCTACAGTGGTTTTCATAATTACATGCAAGTTAGGGGGAAACAGCTGTTAATGTGCTTGCCTTGAAGAAAATAATTTGGAAGAGCAGCTGGTAGTTTCCAGTGAGTGCTGCTTCCAGCTGCTGGCACTGTGACTGGATGAAGAGCAGAGCTGTAGTTCACTGTGAAGAACAGGAGTTACCAGGTAATGCAGGGGCATAGGCCTGCTCTTGCTGCTTTCCTCTGCGTCTGCTGTCAGTTAAAATGCGGAATGTCTCTTGCTAGAAAAGCAGGTTTAGACAGATCGTTACTTTCTGGAAAAGAATAAAATCATCTGTAAATAGTATGATGCTTAATTGTGTTTTCCACTAAGTTGCTTAAAGTGAAAAAATTACATTTACCAATTTACCATAATTATGGTCATTGTATTAATCTGAATTTTAACATGTTTCCCCATTTTAGGGATAAAACTGAAGAATTAATGGAATTAACAGATGAGCAGAGAAACGAACTGATTAAAAAAGAAAGCAGCAGACTCCAGAAAACTGGACACCGGGTAACCTACTCTCCTCGTAAAGAAAAAGCACTAAAAATATATCTGGATGGAGCACCCAATAAAGATTTGACTCAAGACTGATACTCGCTATAGCATTTTCCCTGGGGAATTTTTTTGTTCAAAATAAAAAGGTTCACTACTACTGTGTAGTGCCATTATGGCAGGACACTCATTAGGTGTAAAGTGCTGACACCAGCACTGATTGGGCTGTGTTACCAATCAGAAGTGCAGTGCCCCGTCGGGTCACTGTTTGACTTGGAATCATGTTGTGCACTATAGTCAAATGTACTGTAAAGCTAAAAGGGATGTGCAAATAAAAGATTACAACTAAAAAGTGGGCGGGGAGGGAAATGAGTGGAAAATTTTGAGGACAGTGTGCACATAGTAGCTAGTGAAACTAGCCTCAAACGGGATACTCATAGCTTAATAATAAAAGCTGTGCAAAGGCCATGAAAGAATCCTTTTTTCTGTTTGTTTCACTGATACACGCATTACCTCATCAGAGAGTCTGAAGTAAATGTTAATACATTGGTTCTAGAAAAGCAGCAGAAAAGGATTGAAGCTGAAGTGCTGCAAGTGTAACGTTTCAGAATATTCTTCCGTAAAGCAGGTAGTCTGAGAGGTGTCTGCAGAAGGCTGCCAGCACGTGTTGGTCCATTTTGCAGAAGTGCTGTTGGAAGGTAGACTGGTTTTTAATAGATAATGGAAGCTGATGAGCAGCTCTGTTCTGTTGCGTTGGATGTGTAAATAAAATTTGCCCTCTCCATTTAACAGAACTGCAGTACAGCTCTTTACCATCGTAATTCTTTTCACATATCAGCATTCATTGTGTACATTTGGAAGAATAGTTGCCTATTTAAATTTGTATTCATCTTCTGTTTTGATGATGCTGGGTACTTTAGGGTTGTATTTCCCCTTGTTAATGAAGTTTTTGTTTCATTCAGCAACTTTTTTGTACATTTTGGTTTTGAGCCTATTAGAAGTTTGCGTCTCCTCCACCAGTCATATTCTTTTTCCCAGAGTTGATTCTGTAGCTATATGTAGTCAAATACTGGGGCAGCCTCTTAACACCTCAACATACAACCTTGGTGTAGTTCAGGTTCTGGTGCAAAGACTGATGCAGTCAACATGATTTCATTGCAAAGCCTAGGAGTAGCCATGTTTCGCTTTGGTCCGTAAAGATCAATAGAGAACAATTCTCCACAGTTTCTGAAAAACCACCTAATTTATAACAATCAAAAGATTTTGGTAAACTTTTTCATGCCAGATGCTGTTTACAACAATGAACATGCCAATAAAACATTTGTTCATTCTGTTGTGCTATTTTGATCATTAAATGCTGTGGGTTTTATTTGAAAAGTTACAGAATTACTTCCTGGGAATACAGACTTGCCCAAGGCAATGTCAGAACTGTAAGGCTGTGTGTGTGTATGCACACCCCCCCACACGTGTACAGTGTTGCAGGAAGTGTTCTATAGCCTGTCTGGTGCACCTCTTTACAGATATTCACACCAAATTTGTCTTAAACTGTAAGTTTCCTTTTGCAGAATTGAATCCCTCAGCAGTGAAATTTCTAAGCTCCAGATATGATTGGCAGCTAAGCTCTGCTCCATAAAGGAAGAAGGATTTTCAATAAGTGAACGTTCAGTTCTTCCTTGCATGCTGACCCACAGCAACCTAAAAATCCTGAGGAATCTGTCAGCTTGTGAACCCAGCACTGTGCAGAGGAATTCCCTCATTCTTCCTCTTCTGTTTGACCTGTGCCATCTCTTATCCAACATGGGTGAGGTGGAACCAGGAGCAAAGGAAGCGTAGAGTAAGCACCATCCGGTAGGCAGAGCATTTCATTAAACTACTATTTATGTATATATACAGGGGGTTTTTGGAAGAGGGGAAAAAAAATTAACTACCAAATGGGCCATGAATTTCCTTCAAACTGGGACATTTGGAAAGGCAAAAATCTAGACATAGTGTTAAGAATTCTAAAAACTGCCTGCTTAATCTCTAGCCCAATTTGGGAAACATCCATTGAGAACTTCTTTGAAGAAGTACATTTTAAGCCTTTAAGTCTTAGCAGAAATCTGGAGAGGGCTGAGGGAGGGGCATCCTTACAATGACTTCCTGTCCAGTGGTGCACATCCTTCTCCATAAGCATACTGCATAAGCATTCTGATTTTTTTTGGGAGACAGTTTTCAGCAGCTGCTTTACATTCTGATCATTTCAAACATTTTTGAGTTTGAGGATGGGCAGTTTAAAGAAACAAAAAGCCTTGAGCTTCTAATTTGCTTAATTCTGCAGAAATCTTATGGAACTTCTGAAGAATACTAACACTTACCTTTCATGGATTGAAGCATCAAGAAACTTGAAAGCAGGAAGAATTGTGTCCTTAATTGGAGGCAGTGTTTATGGACAGTTTAAACAGGAAAATGACAATACTTCATTACTTCTCTTTGTATATATGGGATGTCTCTAAAGCACAGTAATTTCATTAAGGATAGAAAGGACAGATGAATTCAGTGAATGCTTCGAGAGCACGTGTATTTGTGCATGTGTTGGTGTGACAATTGGTGGTAGAAGTGAATCCTTAAACTGAAAGTCTGACATTGTAATGAAATACCCTTCCTGTTCATGATGGTTATTAACATTAATTCTAGTATCCAAGGGAATTGTTGAAAAGCTTTTACAGATCAGAAGTGATAAAAGACTTGCAGGCTGGTAGCACAGTCTTGTAGCTGCTCTTAAGTTATTGGTGCTCTACTGTTTCAGATTAGACATAAATGGTAAGGGTTATTTGAGAATAAGTGCCAGCAAAAGATACTTGGCTAGGGCCTCATCTCATCTTTTACCATGCACAGTAAGAGATGGTGAAATCTGTATCCCAAAAAAAACCAGTAATAGTGGAAGAGCCATTGTAGCAAACTGAGACAGCTGGAAAGTGTGATAGATCAGATTTTCCTGTTAGTTTACTATTGATATCTTAAATTGCTGACCTCTTAAGATGGTAATGATAATAACAGTGTAAAGTGCACAGATGAATGCCTGTGAAGTGAGTGTTGCATAGGAGGCAGCATTCTGCACTACATGAACACACCTTAAGTAATGTTTTTCATGTGTTTAAAAGCACAAACCATTTCTCAAAGAATTTTCTCTGGATGCAACAGAATCAAGTAGGAGAGGCACAAGTCTCTAAAAGCAAGAAACTACTTAGGTTGTCTTACTGCTAAACTGAAATAATGAATTCTGTTCACTGCCTGTTGCCTTTCAAAAAGGGTAGGTGATGACGGAATGTAGTTGACAGATGCTTTGATTGACATTACCCAAGATGGGGTATTCACGTAGTGCAGAATGGTGCCTTGTAACTGCAGCTGCAACGTTCTCCTGTCTGTTGATACTCTAGATTTTCACTGTATTCAACCCAGTTAGCTGTTTGTTCTGCAATTCTAAACAGAATAAATTCTAAATTGTCAGTGTTTTGCCCTTGAGAGACAGAGCTCTGAACAGTCATGTTGAAAGTTCCTGTATCCATATAAACCCATTGTTTTTTATATAAGTATGCACATGCTGTTTATTATTTCTATGGAAAATGCTGTAGGCTTTTTTTGACAGTATGCCACTTACATGGTGGGGGAGCCCAACACCCATTTTATATGAAAGTATAAAACTCAGGGGATACTCCAGCTATGGAACAGCAGTTCTTAAGTTGCACCGAAGGCTGCTGCAGGACGGACAGCATCAATTGTACACAGCTGAACAGGTGCTGTAGGTATCTTCATGTAAAAAGGGCAAGCATCCTTTATCTTTTCTGTTCCTCCACAATGTGTGTGTGGTGGGGGGACATGTCACCCAGAATCTATCTGTTGCAGCTTCACTGATTAAATTTTATGAAGGAAAAATTTAAAATATATAAAGTCAGTGACTACACTAGTCCAAAGTAGGTGGTTCTTACCCTAGAAAAATAAGCAATTCTAAATATGTCACTTACACAGTCACTAATAAGATTATTTATGCTTATGTGTATTTTTTTAATGAGTACAAGTATTGATAAGTTTATTTCTAATGTACAAGGGTAAAGTACTGATCCAGAAAGAACTCTAATATTTCTTGTTTGTCTTTGATGGAAGGTTTGGGCCAAGGATTGAATGAATTCAACAATCACTTGAACATGCAGGTTTGGTACACAGGAATGGATGCTCATTGAAGACCTCGTTTATTGCACTTCTATCCAGCCCTATGTGCTTAGGGTTTATGTAAGCAAGACACTGACAAATTTCTAGAAATAGCTAACTAAACTGTCTGGTGTTTGGACTTTAAATTTCATCTCCCAAAAACGGGTCACGATCTGAGTCAGGCTCAGGCTTCAAACCTGCTTGGTCCTCTAGACTTTCTAATTCTTTACGCACTTCCTGAATGACACTGCTTTCTTCATAATCAGAAAGTGTATCTCTGGATATCAAGCTGAGAAATGGCATTTCATCCATGATTAAGGGATCTTCCTTTTCATTATTCCTGGTTTCATTGGCAGACAGTTCACACACAGATGTAGTGCCGTGTCTGTTGGAAAAAGAGATGTCTGGTCACATAGTACATCTTTTCATGTTCTTTTGCCAGTTCCTCAATAAAATTCTTCCTTCCCTCCCCACAGGAAAGCATGTTCTGTGCATAATACTGTCAGATCTACCGTAACTGTCTTCATAAACATCTGATTTTTACATGCTTGACAGCTGGAGAGTTAAAGATGGGATTTCCACATACAGAGCTAGAACAAAGATCCTAATAGCAAAACGTATTTGATACTGGGACACAAGGTGGCAGTGAGTCTCAGCACAGTCTGTCCCTTCTACCTACAGGCAATCATGATGACCAGTCCTCTCTGTTCCTGTCACAATACCAAGGTAAATAGGGCACTCCAGCTTAAAAGGAACGCAGAAAAAATGTTGTTTGCCATCAAGCTATACAGCTGAGAAAATTGAGCAATATATATTGGGTTCTAAGTAGGATAGGGTAATAGCTGTCTTTGTTTTGAAAAATAGCTTCAGCTACCTGCAAACAAAGCATCCTGCATTTGGTGTAGAAACTTTTAAAAGGGACAAGACTGATTTGTATTTGTTGACAGGAGGCAGGGGAATAGAACTGGATCACGGTGCATCTGCTATCTCTCTGTATTGCATGGGACAGAACAGGGCTACAGGTCCCTGTGACAGTGCAAGGTGACCATGGCCTATGCCAGGCACCCCCAAACAACTGCTTAAAGCTGCAGCCACTTTCACAGGAAACAAAGGGTTAATGAATTGAAGATGTTCCTGAAGCTTATTTTGTGTACATTTTGAATCGTTGCATGTTTTGTGGGCAGACTAATCCCTGTGTACTCTAGGATTTGATCTGATAGTTTAAGTGTTTATTGTTCACTAGTACTATTTAGCCAAGGGCCATTTCAGGCAGAGATGGGCTGTTTCTTTCAATAAAAAACTTTACATGACTGTTCAAATTCACCATGAAGATTCACAGAAGTGGCTTTATCTTGCTGTCCATGCAAGTCAAGGGCATGTGGTGTGCACAGTATTACTGTATTTCTGATAACTCTGAACAGATAAATAATTGTGTATGTAAGTAGACAGTTCAGTTATATGCACACCCTAACTCATTTTTGTGTTTCTATATCCTTATTTGAAATGTTTCACCTAGTGGACATGACATATGCTGATAGACCTTCCCCGAAATTAATAGTACTTAGACATTAACTAAAATTTGGTGCTGAAAGGATGGGATCAACTCTGCTTGCTTCCATAGATCACATTTATGAAATAATGTTATCCAATTACTTTAACTGCATGAAAAAAAACATAGCAACAGAATTGGACAAAGAAAAAATATTGATCTACAGCCCTGTCACAGCTATGCTGTCTTTTTGAAAGATGATGAAAATTTGGAAAGCCAGTTTCATAGACAGCATGTATGTGTTCTCAAAATGCTTTTAGTGCAAAACTGTAATGATCCTGCTTTCTGCCAATGACATTGCTGATAACACAAAGCTCTGTTCTTTTAAAGCACGATTAAAGGCACGCTCTATTGAAAGTTTTAGCTTCTAGCAGAAAACACAGTCAGCCCTCTTCCTGTTCCAGGACACTCGATGGTACCCACACCGACATCCTGGTCTCCAAACTGGA